TTAGCAATTATCAAAGGAAATTCTTATCCGTTCGCATCTGTACTAGGAAATGAATATAGGAAAACCTACTCGCTCCAATGTACAGATCGAAAAACTCGCCCCCTCCGATTGAGCGGAAATATTTGTAATTATTATATTTTAAAAAAAGTTAAAACCTTAATACATCAATAAATGACAAGGATCTAAAACACCATAAAAAACTAACAATACAAGCAAAAAATTTCAATACAAAAACAGGAGCAGCCGAATCTTAAAAAAAATTATTTTATATCTGTCATACATTAAAAAAGTACAGAGACGTTCAAGTCCTGTTAATCCAGTGGAAAATCAGACACTAATGTTCTAATTTCCCCCAAAGAATATGCCAGATAAAACTATAAAACATTAAAATTATGAAAACTTATGCTCCAAACAAGAGACAAAATTACTACAATAGTTACTGAGGAACGTATACTATATATTTAAACAACAAGTTGACATTTAATTATCATAAATGAGTATGTGTGTCTTTGTATAGGTAAAAATGATTCAGGAGTCACCCCCCCATTGAAAAGTAGCAAAAATATAGTCAAGAAAAACATCATTTGTTTCTTGAAAAAAAAAAGAAAGGTAAGTATCAAAGTACTATGTCCAAGTGTCAATACTTGAAAAAAAGTAAACCGCCAAAATATACGAAAAATTATGAATATCAATTTCATATAATTCAGAAAAATGGATAAATCGCAAAATGATTTACTCCAGATAACTCTAGTCAGTAGATTATTGCCATCAGAATGAAAACAAATGATCAAAAGTTCAAGTACAGTCAAAAATTCAAAAAGTAAATACATTTGGGGAAGGCAAAAATAATTTTGAAAGTAAATTTCCTACGTACCAAACATCATGAGAGCTATATCAGTACACCAGAGATCCAACAATTAGGCTATATATGCGTACATGAAAAGTCTCAAGAAATCAAAAAACTGCACATGAAGAAATACTTTCAAAAACTAAGAGGTTAGTGATCAAAAATGAAAAGCATATAAGAATATGTAAACTATCAACAACAATAGTCACAACCTCAATCAAAAGTTTGATGATATTCGACAAAAATGCTGGGAAACCTAAAGTCCCCAGACTATCAATATTCAACAACAAAAAAATATCAAAATATCATCAATCTCAAAAGTACAATGAGAAAAAAGTTATAACTGTCCCCAGCAGTAAATAAAAACTATAGTAGTATGTGAGAAAAAAAATTCTGGCAATGATCTCGCTGACTACTAAACAAGACAATTTAAAAGTTAATAGTATGCCTATGAAATAAACAGGTGGAAAAATTTTATCTTTTGATAAAAATTTTAACATTAAGCAAAAAGTAAGGATGATTAAGGAATTAGAAATTTGAGTACCAAAAGCAATTAAAAATAGAAATGCTGCCAAAGATTGTAAAGAATTTTGAAAACTATGTTCTGTCTGCCAATCTTCCACTAGCAAACCACTTGTCGACAAAGCCAAACACCTATCGAAGCCTCACGTTGCGGGTGCCAATTTATGTAATGCTTCCTTTCCGCAAAAAGTCCAGAAAAGATGGAATGCAATGAAGATTCCAACTTTTCTGCACAATCACAGAAAGGGGGTTACCATTAGCTTCCGGTAGCTCAGTCGGTGGCATGAAGACATCTACAGGCGTGTAGCTGTGTGTCGACCATGGCATGGCTAGAGGATAGAAGAACAAACAGAACACAAAAATTTAACAAATTTTATTTAACAAAAAAAAAAAGGCATTTTCATTACATTACAATTTTACAAAAATAACAAAATAAGTTTTACATCTTTGGCGCTGCCATAACGCTATCGACTTATCTTTCGCTGGTCCATTTTTACTCGACTGAAGCCAGGATGGCCAGGGGCTTGAAGGGGAGGTCCCAGTTATGAGGGGTGACCTCCATATAGTGGCTTCACAACCAGTTGTAGGCGAAGTTAAAGGCGATGGCGCTGCCAAGGTACATGCATGGGTGAAAATATTGGCCAAGGCTAGGCAAAGTGAAAGGGAAAGAGAAAGGGGGTGGCCCCAATCATTTTTGTCCTATACGGACACACATTCTAGAAAATTCTAGCACATGGTGCTATATAACCTTGTGCTACAGAGAAGAAATTTCTAGCCGTTGTTCGATCGGCGGCTCAAGTGAAAAGGAAGCGCGAGGAAGATCGCAGATCAGGAACTCCGCATCAAGCGCTCCAAGCGGAAAATTTTCCAAGCAAAAAAAGCTAGAGATGGGATTAATGAAATGATAATCGAGAAGTGATTTAATAAATACGATCGGACGGTGAAACCGTTACAGTATTTTATATTAATTTTAACGAATGTACCATGTATCCCACTTTCACCAGGCTACTAAATGTTTCCCTCAACCTAACCGTCAATAACATTTAGCAACAATCTCACATACTAATGTAAATAATTTAAAATCATTCTGCACAATAGTTGCTATTTCTTCTCAATGTTATTGCAGCTCCTGATGAAGATGTCAAAGTCAATTGAAAGCTAGAGACTAATAAAGTATAAAGAGTCCTCATTGCTTGAATTCTGTCGAAGTGCCCAACTAAAGGCGGAAGCTTTATTTTTCATATATATAACAAAAAATAGGAAAATAATGGGCAAAATCCGCAAAAAGAAGGAAAGTGGATTCGAGCAGAAAATAGGATAGGTAACCCGAGCGATACGTATTTCTGCTGGTTGGCTTCATCAGGCCCGAAATGAATGCACATATACAACTACAAAAGTAGATCCTTTGGGCTTGAAGTATCACAGCTAGTGGCTATAACCGGCCGCGTGGTTGTGGTTAGATGTCGCCTTGAAAATTCGAGGTCTTCTAGCCATTTTATACTACAATGTGTAGGTTGGCTCTTGTTGTGGACTTTCTTCCTCTCCATCTTCGTTTCCTCAGGTTACACCAGTATCCGGATGTGTGGGCATGTGTATCTACTTTTGTAGTTGCATATGTGAATTCATTTCGGGCCTGCTGAAGACAACCAGCAGAAATACGTATCGCTCGGGTTACCTATCTTATTTTCTGCTCGAATCCACTTTTTGCGGATTTTGCCCATTATTTTCCTATTTTTGTTATATATATATATATATATATATATATCTGGAATTTGGATAAATGAAATTGACACAAGAATAGTATACTTACACGGAAAACTGACAGTTGGGGATGGTGGCAGGGCGCTATCTTGGAATATTTTTCAAATGCTAGTGTCGGTCATGTGACACCCCATCTTGCAGCTCCTTATCATTACTTTATATAGTAATCATATAGTAATATGTATTTACTCTATAAATACAGGTATCATGAAATGAGTAAATAAATATAATTTATCCATAGAAGGACAATGCCTGTGCATGGATCAATTGTATGTTAAACGACAATGGATATAGGAAGAACAGTGAGAAAAATCATAATTATATTATTCTTAAGAATGATATTATTTACTGTGTATTATTTGAGATTATTCCATAAATGTTGTTTCTCCCAACCGTGCTAATCCATTTTTTTGATTTTTTTGAAGTTTAATGTATTGCGTAATTGTTTTAAATCATTAATACGTGAGATCGTTTCATTAAAGATTTGTTTGGTTTAGGAACATTTCTTGCGCGTCATTTATATTTGGTGTTATAACTATGTTTCATTGTGTCGCGTCCACTAATAATAATTTTGTGATAATGGGTAATGGTATGTAAGAAATAAAATTCTTTAGTATCATATAATGTACTTGTGCATCATTATACAAGTCACCAGTTGGATATAAGTTTGATTTGCCAAACATGATTTTAAAATTGTTCTTTGAAGCACATCTAAATCCTTAATATGTCGTTAATATACCAGTAAGACATTTTATTTTTTATGCTATGAATCTGATTTTCTTTAATTATACACGGTATTCGAAAAATAGACGGAGATTAAAATTAAATATTCTTTTCTTATTAATATCTTGAAGAATATTTTCTCGATTCTGTTGAAATTTGACAATATTATTTGCTGCCCTGAATAGGTTGAAATTATTAGGTCCAATGGTGTCCCGGGGGCACCTTAGCGAATATTATTGGCAAAAAATAGTACGCCACTCGCTTTCTGTAACTTTAATATATGCTGTTTCATTAGGCATTTTTTTTGTATCTCACGTCGTTTTCGAGAAAAATAACCATTTTATTGCATGTCAGTGAACAAAATTGGTTTATTAATTTTTGCTATGAAAATCACGACTGCCTTGGAAAACAAAAAGCCATTTTTGCATGGAGATCTGACATTTGTGTGTGCGTCAGTTCAAACGTCAACAGAATCGAGTAAATATTTTTTTAAGGTATTAATAGAATATACATATATTTTTTTTCTATCACCCCCCATCTTGGAAACTCTCTTTCCGGGCCAATGTTCATAAAAACTATTGATTTTTAGATATTCTCATTTACCTTACAGAAAAGGTGGTTATAACAATCGAACTGGCGGGCTGTGCAAGTTGAGCGTTTCTGTAGATTAAGTCTCTCATAAATCAACAACTTATCATCAAAATGTTATAGGTCTTCTTCATTTTGGATGATTTTTCTGAATGTACAATAAAGTATATCATACGCCATTTATGAACTTGAAGAATTTTGACAATTTTAACATGCATTAGCATTAGCACTTTGATGATTGTTTGTTGAGTTATAAATTACACATAAACGCTTATATTCTACGGTTATAAAGTACCCATAAGTAGCTCAAAATGAGAACTTACAGGACCCCACTATATTTAAAAAATGTTCCAAGATGGCGCCCAACCATAATCTTGAAATTTGCAATTAACACTTATACGCTGAAATATAGTATTAATGCAACAATTTCACAGGTCACTATATGAAAAACTAAGCATTATAAAAATTAAAGAAGATTTAAAACTTATTTGCGTTAAATCCATACTGATGGATGGAATAAACTTTAAAAATGAAACATGGCTGAAATTTATGATTTTAGGAAGGGATGGAAAGAGAGAGCAGGTTCATTTACAATGTTGCCAACGACAGCCGATTGTTTTTGAGGTTTTCTCGTTAAATCCACCATGATCATCTTTATAGAAAATAGTCGAAAGACACTGATTTCTCCATACTATCGATAAAAATATGTAATAAAAAATAACTTCCTAATCGTTACACCACGTCAGAGCCACAAATGATTACCCATTTCAAGATAACTTTATCAATTGGTTATTGTTTGCAAGCGGTGATGTCTAGCATACATGCAGCATGTTTTTAATCCATCAACTGAGAATGGAATATGATAAATTGATTCCTTGACATCGAAGGTTATCCAACTTATGATGGCATAATGATATATTTATGGATAGTGCATCGTGATATTGCAGAACGTTGTTCCACCCTTATTCGACGTATGAATTCTGCTTTATTGAGCTATGTGGGGAGGCAAAGGAAATACAATATACGTGAGTGGATAATGGATATTCAGTGATATGGTTTTGACTTCATGCATTAGTAGATATAGTCAGCATAGGTTAAGATAGGTGGGAATACGCAGCTTTTAAAACAAACATTGTAAGGCTCTTGACAAAAATCACTATAGTATTTGAGCCCGACTACTTGTTTTTTTATTATTTCTTGGTTAACGCAGAATGTGACGTATTGAACTGAATTTACGAGGGATGTCTTTTAACTTTTGCATATAGAAACATAGTAGGCCGCGCGGATCGAACTTCAGTACTGAATCTTACCCTCACTTAAATTCAAAGTTTCACAACAATACGTGCAGTGTTCTCACTACAGTGAATTTTTAAGTATCACCAAGTCATTAGAAGAATGGAACTCAACCGAGAACATTTTCCGCTATAATTTATTACAACTTTCAGAGACAATAATCGCAACAAGAATGCCTTGCTGAGTTACTGTCTGTTTTCGGCAACGAAGCGCCACATCAGTCGACAATTTCCCGTTGGTATGGAGAATTCAAACGTGGACGGGTGAGTCTTAGCGACGATTCCAGGGTGGGTGCACCAAAAACGGCAGTCACCCAGGAAAACGTCGATGCTGTGCGCAAACTCATCGTTAAAGATAGACCTGTGACGTATCGCGAGATTGAGGCGTCCTTGAAGATTTCAAAGACCTCAATTCAAAAAAAATTACATGAAGAATTAGGAGTAATAAAATTAGTTTCTCGTTGGATACCCCACCTGTTGACTGAAGAGCAGAAAGCAGCCAGGGTTAATTGGTGTCAAAAAACGCTTGACCGTTTCAATTTCGGAAACTCAAAAAATGTGTACAGCATTGTTAGTGGTGATGAATCGTGGATTTACTGTTATGAACCAGTTAAAATAAACGACAGTCGGCTGTTTGGGTGTTCCAAGGTGAAGGAAAGCCAACAAAAGTCATCCGTTCTTGAAGTGTTTCGAAAAAGATGGTCGCGACATTTGTGTCAAAAGCGTGGTCAAAGGTTCCAGTCATCAGAAGAAGCAGTTGACGCATGCAAAAATGCCGTTTTGGATCTGCTAGCAAACGAGTGGAACAAGTGCTTCGAAAATTGGTTCGAGCGCATGCAGATGTCTATTAATCTTCGTGGAGAATACTTCGAAAAACAATAAAGTCATTTAAAAGCACCTACCGTATTGTTTTATTGCCATCTGCAAAACTTAAAAGACATCCCTCGTACAAAAAATTAGTCTAGAGTCTACATATTTGGGCAGTTTTCGATCTTCCAAATTCTCATTTTCCATGTCCATGGATTCATTTTTACTCGTTACTTTTTCGGCTAGACGTTTTTACTATTTTTTGTTTTCTCCTATATTATTTATTTTCCGATTATCTTGAGATGTATCTCAAGACAGTGAGCCAGGTTCATGAAGTTTTTACAAGTCACAATTGATCTTTTGCTTGGTGTGATGTGGTAGTTGGAAGCACCATCCCCTCTTTAATTTACCAATCGCCGGCAGTTGGTCTAGAAAGCGCTTCGAAAGTTCTGCTACTCCCCTCCACTTTCCTCAGTACCTTCAATCGCTGACGCTGGGTTTTAGAGCAACAGCAATAAATATGAAGCATTTTCATTCATATCAATGTTATGACCAGAGAAAATCTACAAAACTACTTATTTTTCTTCCCAAAATACTCATTTTTTGCGTGTCCGCGCTGTGGGCACGCTGATTAACATTCTATCACACCGGATGCCTTTATTAGTTCCACATTCAAAATATCTGATATTGAAGTTACTACACGATATCTACTGCTCGACAGTTAACATTTATTTTGAATATTTGAAATAGACAGATATAGGTATAGACAAATTCTTTGAATTGCTTAAACCTTTTTCACTACGACCATAGTTTATGAGAAGCTTGAAAATGCTGAAAAAGTTACAAGAAAAATATCGTGATTCATACATTCTACTTTTTTAATGACTGAAATACAATATGTTTATTTAATAATACAACAGGTATCTATTCAAGAGTGTTGCACCTTAAATCGCAGACAAACTAGAGCAAACGTCCAATAAATTCTCACAATAATCTAAACATATCTCGAAACCTGCATATCTGTAGCATCAACTGACTTTTTTCTGTCATCACTTTTGAGTAATTCTTGAGATCTGAACCGAGATTCCACGTATATATAAAAGTCTAAAGAATGAAGCTCTCCTATTTGTCCTGGGAAATGCACGGGATTTTTGAAAGAACGCTTCGAAATCCGTCTTCAGTAGAATAGAGACACAGCTGTGATTTAAACATCACACCTATACGACTGATGTGTGTAGCTATTTTTGGTGTTTGAAGAAAACGAGTTCACTGGCAGCGTAGTTTTGTTTCTGTTCCGTTTGGTTCATTTTAGCGGCTTTCATGTTTCAAAATGGACATCTTTGTCGTATGTCTATCTATGCATTGCATTGTATGCATTGCATACAGTGTGATTCGGAAATCTTTCATACCTAGACACAGATTCTCAAATTCTCTTAAAATATGTTTTGATAACTTGTACGTAACAGGACCCTATAAAAGTATAATAGGAGATCTTTATGCACCAATGACACTAGTGTACACCTAAATATCCAAAATTATTCTACTACAGTTGATGCTTAAAATATTGCTTATGACAGAAGTTGAAAAACAGACAAAAGTCGGCGACCACTAATTTACATCCATGCCCTAGGAATATTACATTCAATTCGGGGAATCCATTTTCAACATTTTGGACCATAGAACTTCGCATCATTGTCTTGTCACTTGTCAATTTATGTGAATACTCAAACTTTATTTATGTTAACTACTTACAATTAGGGCAAAGTTGGTAGAGAACTCGGTACATAATTTGACATGTGTTACTAATCTTTTTAGAAATCCTAATACGAATGTTTTCCTTCTGCCTACTTTTCTGAAAAAAAAACAATCTTGTTTCAATAAAGGCCATAAACGCTATATAAAGCATAAATCCCAAAAGCGACCTCCTTGTGGTAAGTGGAAAATGGGAGGGGTGGAGTTTGAAGCCTCCAAAGGCAGGTAAGTTTCAGGAAAATGATAAAAAAACATGACATGACAAACACATGACTGTCAAAACCCTATGATTTATCATATCAATCCTCTTGTTTGAAGTGATCTTTCCAAATGCTTAATAAAATACTGGGCGTTCCATTCAAAAATACATATATGTTTGTTGTTGCCACGTAGTTGTGTTGTACCACACCCTGTATATTTATCAATAATTTAAAAGTATCTGTAAGATATCATTTTTGTTGGGAAAGCTGTTTCCGAATATTTATTACAGATTTCCAATATAGTTCCGTTTTCGTTGGGACACTTTGTAAGTATATGCTTCCGATCGAAATAGACACCCTATACCACAGTCGATACGGCGCAATTTAAGCCTTAACATGCAACGATTGATCCCTATTGCATCTGTCAAGTTCAATAAAAAACCTCTTACTACCTAATTCCTTTCACTGTCTCAAATTTCCAAGCGCGAAACAATGCACGAGAGAAATGGCTCGATTGTTCTTTGCGAACTCACAGACTGAAACGGATTGGTTTTATTCGTTTATTTGTTGTACGTTGTACACTTTAATTTTGATAACTGGAAAATTACTTATTTAGAAACGACGGCGAAATGAGATTTTTCGCTATTTGTAAAGCTTATTAGCACTCACAGCTCGAGAAATTGTGGTTGCAGTTAGATGAGCATTATGGTAACCGAAGCTTAGATAAAAATTGTGTTAAGGTGAACCTCAGGTCTACGGTGCGGTGGGACACTCTATAAAGCAAGATTTGAAGAATGCATTTTTGTTTTTTTTGAGCAGACTTGTTATTTATATAGAACAGCAGAAATAGGCAATCAAAAGAATGGATCAGCCGTTTATACAGAAAGAATATTGGTGGCCAATTTATTTGTCCTAAACGATATAACGTTTGCTAAACGCTCGGATGGATAAATTATTAACAACAATCTAAAAAAGGCCCTTCATAATCATCATAATTTTAGACATTTAAGAATATTTATATATTGTAGGACACAAAACACAGAATGAGTATTCATTAGACTAAGTCAATCTCAATTTAACAGTCAGAAAATTCTGATACAAAGGGAGCGGAACTTGGATGCCTACTGACTTTCATCTCCCACTTCTATAGTGATTGTTGTAAAGGGTGGCCTTTTTCCAGCAGATGTTTTCTTTTGATTAGGATTTATCCCTTACGTTGGACTTACGTCTATTTGTAATTCTGACGGTGTCCGAGCTTGGGAGCTTTCATCTTGGTCTTTCCAGAATTAAGGATGCAGGGCAGGTTTTCGCTTTGGGGTTACAGTCAATAATAGTATCATGTGTGCTGGATAGAAAATGTAATATTTACGGAGTTTTGCACTCAGTGGGACTCACTATATTACACAAGAAGACAGTTGCTTGTACATGCCTGGTACGTGAGATAGGTGTCAGGTTTGCTTTTTTAACGTTTAGTTAGAAAAATTTATTTTTGATTTGGTTTTTCCATAATCACCTTCGTGAGTGTTTCCAGAGTAAGGACCAAAATGTCTCTCACGCGAAAAGTATTCAATCTTTTTTTTTAAATACC